CTTTTTTCTTTATAACTGAAGTTGCAGAAAGAAGTGAAAATTTCCTTCAGGAGAAGAGTGGGAGCTACGACCAGCCTTTACGGTAATTGCTTTGCTGGAAAGGAGACTGTCCCGCTGACACCCCCATAAATCACTGCCTCTCTCTGGATGATTTCTCCCTGCCCCACCTCAAAGCGGAGCCTGGAGAGCTGTTATTCAGAGGTAGCCTGCAGATGTGTATCTCCACCTTCTAGCAGGAACCTCTGCACTCAGTAACAGAGACAGTAATGTAGAGAGGCCAAAGCAGCCTCAGTCTTCCCCCCTAGCCCCCCCAGGAAAGCACCCATCTGGTAGCACAAGAGCACTGCTGCCTTCCCAAGCTATTTGAGCAGAGGTTACAGACCAGCCCATTAGCTGCTGTTACTTCATGGAGGAGCAGCTGCCACGCAGGGCCCCCCCAAAAATCCTCCTTGAGGACGTGGTGAGGGGGGAGCCCCTCGATAAACACACAGTGAGGCCAGGAAGATGGAGGGATTTCAGAAAGGGGAAGAATATTGAATTGGTAACATACAGGAGGGAAAGGATAAAAGAACTGGAGGGGATTTAGAGACAAGTCAGAATCTGTGGAACTGGGAGGGTTTCTGAAGCAGGGCTGCGATCAAAGACTGTTCTCACGGCTTCGGGCCAAAAAAGCACAGGCTCTGGAAGATAGCCTTCAGAGCGTATCCATGCAGAGCTGGACCTGATAAAGTCTCAAATGAGCCAACCACTCTGTAACAAAATTCTAACATGATGTCTGCAGTAAGCAATGGATGCAGCAAGTAATCTAGGTGTTTCTCTTTCAAATCCCAAAAGAGCCACTTCCACTGTTTGTGGAGAGTGAAAAGGACTTCAAAAGTAAGTGAAAAAGGACTTGAAACAACAGTCTGGGATGTGTTTTGGGGGGTGGAATCAATCCCTAGGTGTATTAAAACACAACAGACTAGAGCTGTGCAAGACCATCAGCGCAATGCTAGCAAGGCTGGCGTAACATCAACTTTTTATAGCCTGTCGGAAAGGGAAAATACTTTTGGTCCTTATGCCTATCTGCTAGTGAGAAGACGTGTTTTAGCAGGAAGATATTTCTCCCTCTGAGAAAATGGAGAATATTCTTGGACCAGTCTAGAAAAAACTTAGACTTTTTTTTTTCCAAAGGGTAGAAGAACAGAAGGTCCCTCTCTCAGCAGCTTATAGAGCAGGCCCCCCATATGGTTACGATGCTGAACTCCAAATCGCACCTGGAGCCAACTGTGAGGCACATTAGGCAGAATGGATGGTGCATCCAAAGCAAAGAAGTGGGGAGAGCAGGTCTGATACATGGCTCTTTAGCTCTGCCCTTTGAGACCTTGTTACTTTTACAGCACCGGCACTCCCTCTTTTTATTGCATATTTTTTAAACTACATTTCAGGTCCTCTCTCCATATCAATACCCCTTCCACTCTCATTTTTCCTGAAAGAAAAATATCTTTATTGAAGGATTGTAGCAAAAAATAAGAGAAATAAAACAGAACACATGAATTGCAATACATCCTAAAAGGCATCCTGTTAAGGAATAGTTCCCTTCCTCCCCACAGCTGTAACTTCAGAATCTACCAGATGTTCCTGTTTAGAGAAGGGTGTCTGATTTTGAGTTTGGAGTCTTTCCAAAGGGGGAGGGGAAAGTGTAAGCTAAAAATAGGATGGATGGCCTGAGTGAGTCCAAATACAGTCAAATATCTTGATTAAATCTTATTAGCGATTTGGAATCCATTTCTGCAGCCTGCACCACTTTCAGATCTGAAAGACACAGATGAGGAGGACAAAACCAGTAGATAGACTGAAGACAAGCCAATACATTTAAGTCAGCACAACATATGGATTCTCACTTCTCTCAGCCCAGGAGAGCCTGCTCCCCAAGATTTGCCCAAACTAAGTGAAACATCCCAGTCAGTAAGCCTTTTCCCCTCTTCTCTCTCTCCCTCAGGAGACTATTTTATAACCACATACCTCTCACTGCCAGGATCCTTTCCGCATTATGTACATCCTATTCTTTCCCTTTAAAAATGTTCCCCATTACTCTCTGTGATAAGAATTGGTTTTATTCTAAACAATTCTGCCCTTTCCCACACTCACACCTCCCAGAAATGTGTAGACTGTTTGATCACTTCATACTACCTCCTGCACTAGTTAAATATCTTTGAAGACTTGATTCAGTTCCTCTGCAGTTCTGCCTGCAGTACTTTGAGCTTTCCTATATGCATTCAGTATCAAGTGAGCCTTGAGGCTAGATATCCAGGAGCAGATTCATAATGCTCATGCAAAAAGACAACAAAATCCTAATCTAAAAAGAATCCAAACAACTTCAGCACAGCTAAATTGTAGTAATTTTGGTCTCCTCTTCAACCCAACAGTGAATCTGCCCTATCAGTCTGAACCTCTTGATTTAGAAAGATTATGAGTAGAAATGAGTATCTTTTGTTGACATTTGCAGCCTGTAACTAAAATGTAAATCTGGCCAGTAATTATCTCATACTCAGCCTTTATTTTTCTCATACAATCACAAAGGTTACCCTGCACGCCTCTAAAGTTTTCTGCCAAGCCAATCACATCAACTGCTTTGCTGTCCTTTAGACTAGCAAAGTTTCCACTTTGGCAGATAAATGGAGTTCGACCTGTTTACTATCCGTGACAAACAACCTCTAAGAATCAGAAAAGCTAATTTTTTTAATGCCTCTTAATTGTATAAGGGAGTGCAGCCTTACTCCCTCTCTGAGGTTAAATTTTCCTGGCCTCCATAAATTGGCATTTTGTCATTTGCAATGTCTCTCTTCAGGAACTTGGATGTTGTTTGATCATGCAACTAGGTTTCCCAGTGCATGGCACAGACCTATGAATTACATAACAGAGAATTCAGGATATAAGTCAGCTCTATCAGAGTGAATGGGGAAGAAGATCCTTTCCTGCAGAGACTCAAACCCAGTTCTTAGAACACTGCTCATATGTGGATTTCCACCTACCTTTTCACCTTGCAGCTGTGACTGAACTACAGATCTGTGCAACAGTGATGTGTGCAGATGATAGATAAGATGAAATAACATGAACAATGTTCTTTGTTTGCATTATTTCCTATTATTGCTGTCAAAGGAGAAGCAGTGTGATTCCTGTGAGCTTTGTGGGCAGCTGAGATCCTCAGCTTCAGAAACTGTCCTGTCTCTTGTGTCACTAAGCAACATGGAGAGGAACCAGCTTTCACCACTGTCACTCTCGTGTGCTCATCAAGCCCATGGGATATTGTGGAGGAAGGACCAGGAATAGACAATAACTAAGCAAGTAGAATAAACCTCCCAATCCCCAAGCCATTCAGTCCTTGCCTAGGTGACACTTGATTGAGATTTGGCCGTACTTTTTGGGAGCTCCGTGAGGATAGTGAAGGTGGGGGTCCTCCATGTGCACAAAACGTAACACACAGGCAGCTTCAAAGGTATCGAGGCTTTCCGGATTCTCCTCGTTCCTGTGGGCTGGGCCAGGCATATGAATTTGTCCATTCCCAGCCCAACCCAAGGAAAAAAGTCTGCTTTTCCACATCCTAATCCTACCCTGCCCTCCCTGCTCTGTGTTTCTCTCCCGGCACCCTTCAATGCGTTTCTCAGGTGGAGCATGTCCATGGGAGACACAGCCTCAGCGGTGGCATTGGTTCTGAACGATTTCAGGGGGACCAGCAGTGTTGCAGCCCAAATTTTCCACCTACTCTGAAAGGTCATTCCCAGCGGGGTCTGGTTAAAAGGAAAATCCACTCAGTAGCACAGATTAAATAGTTCCAAGTCAGGAAAACAGGGAGCAGGGCATTGCAGGAAAGAAGGGAGTTTCCACCTCTTTCATGCACTGTGCAATGTGATATGGTAGTTTTGCGGTTTCCGAAGCAGGCTGCTGCTCTTTCTCCAGCCATCTGTAGAGCCACTCTTAGCACATTTCCATAGCTTGTGCAGCTCCAAGGACTGTGGATAATGCTGCACTCAAACCCATATTTTCCTAAAACTTCAGCTTGAAAAGCTTCATCATTTCCTTGAAAGTGAGTGGGTTAGAGAAACTAGCCACCATTGTGAGTATCATGCTTTGGGCAGCTGGCATGCAGGCAAGCGTTGCCTCAGAGTCATCTGAATAATGGTAACTAGAGACTCAGGGGAAAAAAGGGACTCAAGAAATTGCTTATCCATTTACACTCTCACCTACCCAGACTGTGGTTGTGCTTAATCACTGACACTCATCACTTCATTTATATTTAACAGCATACATTCTCTCTCCAGTTTGCACAGCACATAGACATAAAGCATACTGTCAGTAGCAAAGGAAGCACAAAAAGTTAAATTACCTTGGTAAAAACCATAAGAAACATCTCAATGAAAATCAAACTGATATTTCTGTGAGAGTTTACTAAGTTAATTTCAGGAGCTCAACCTTGTAAGAGCACAACCCTGAAGCAAAATGATTTACTTGGTATTTACAGATTTTTTTTTTGCAAAACAAGTTCGCATGAAACCATAGCAACAATGGTTAAAGTGAATATTTGGAACGATGTTGGAATCATTCATGAGGGAAAAAGACTTACAATCTCTATTTTGGACTGATAGAATGTAAGATGAAAGCTAAATATGGAGAAATATTTCAAAAGATTTTAAACAATTAAATTACCATAAACCCTGTCAAAAGGGCATTTAAAATACGTTTTGATCATAAAATTGTGCTCTTGATTTTTTAAAAACTCTCTCTGGTAAGTTTCTGATAAGGAGGTTACATGCATAAATGACGAGGTTTATTACTCTTCTCTTACAAGACAGGATATACAAACAGATTTCACTGAAGCCCTACTACATGGATTTCTAGTGGAATCACATGTATCCCAGCAAAAATCTACATTTTTCTGAAAGGTGTCTCTATTTTATTCCCTTTTTTAAAATGCATTTCGGAGAAGTCAGAACAAAAAAACAGAATCAGTTGCAACTTACCTTACATCCAAGTAGATGACACCAATTTTTTCAGGAAAAGCAATACTCTTCTTTTGAATTGTTCTGTAAGTGCTGTAAGCTCAAGCCAACAGGTAATTGTTGGTGAGTCAAAATTCTTTAAAACAAATTTAAATGCTTTGATGACAAGAAATGTACTTCATGAAAACTTATTTGAAGCTTGATGCTCTTGTATTAAGTTTTGTAACTGTCTGTCTCAGCTAAATAAGCTCCCACTCCTTTCCTCGGACACTTGCCAACGTCTCTAATTTAAAGCAACTGTTAGCTTGCTCTAAAACTCCCACTGGAAAGAGCGCAGTGTGTAGTGTGGAGCAACGAGCAAGTGTTTGCTCCAGATTAAAGCAGTATAACATGGAGTCCTAACAGAATTTGGGGGATAGCCTCCCCAAAGCTGTTCCCCCCAAGGAACATTACATCATTTCTGGAAAGCATTATAGGCTAAGTTTTCTCCTTCTGTGTAAAGACACAGAGAAGAGGAAAAAATCATGCTCTTTCTGGCATGTAGTCCCCTCAGCGTAGGACTTAGGAGGAGCAGGATCTGCCTCAAAGCGAAGGAAGAGGGAATAGCCTTGAAGGCACTAAGTGCTTAAAGCTCCCAAAAAAGCCCGATCCCCAAATCAGTCAACAGGCTGATCACAGTTCTAAACTTCTCCTTCACACGATTTTGGAGTTTCAAAAGCAACTTATATGAGTGATCTTATCTTCTGAGACGTTGTCAAGTTATAGACAACAGAAGCATGATTTTCAAAGGCATTTGCTTACTGAGGATGGCTGTATCCCATGTTGCTCAAATGCAGATAGTGGAGCATGTGAAATTCTGTCCTTGCAGAAGGGGTTGCCTGTGCTCATGTGGAAGGAGAATAATTTCTTGCTGTTGCAAGGAATTTGTTTCAACCAGTTATGGTTGAAAACACCTGGTGTGCATTTATGAATTGACAGTAAAAGGTGCCCTTTTAAATAAAATACGAGTTCTTTCTACAAAGTAGCTAAAAACAAGCAAACAAAAAGCCATAATTGTCCAGGCTTAAATTTTAAAACATTGCTGTGATCTGGAGAATTTCAGTGCCTGAGTACCAAGCTTCCATGTTAGTAACATAGCAAACTTTTACAAAAGTATGTGCTGAACACTTTCTGAAAGTGAGGATCCTCAAAAGCATATCTCAAACTGGGCCCCAAGTCACTAAGCACTTTTAGAAATACATCCAGCAGACCTGCTGATGCTGAAGTCATATAAGGTTTATAGTTACCAAGTGGCTTTGGCTTTGGCAGCCATATTTTCTTGCAAAATTGACATAAGTTAAAATAGGATACATTAGACTGAAATTTTCAGGGGTGTTTAATGCTCTTGGAAGAGGAAATGAATCTTTAGAACGGAACCAGCCAATGTCAAAATACCAATGGTGAAGTGACTATGAAAGTTTTGTTTCATGTAAATATTCTCATTTGCATGGCACTGAAATATTAACTATTTCATACTCTTAATGGAGACTTAGCAAATAGGGTCTGCCAATGATGAGAAAAAAGGTTTAAGGAAAACTTAACTCTTTCACTAATAAGAGTTTCATTTCAATATTAAATGATGCTAATCAGGAAATAGAATACTGTGGTACAAAATCATGCAATTAATGTGAAAGCTTCAGTATATTAATGATTTGACAAGTCTCAATTTTTCCTAAAGTATAGCTATCAGAGTACTTTTGTTTTGCTCTGTGAATCTGCTGCTGGACTTGGTCGCGGATGGGCAACAGAGAGTAGTGCAAATATCATCCTATCCTGTCACTTCAGCATACCACCAGAAACAACTTACCTAAAGGGTTTCTGTATCTTAATCTTCACTTTGTGATCAGGCATAAGGATTGATATATTACTGGCAGCACTGGAAACTTGTATGTGGTTTATAGTATACCTAGCATGGTTACGCGAAGTATGCAGAATTTTTAAAGATCATCCTGAGTGCTACCCTCATTCTCTCAGTTTGCCTCTTTCCGCTCCTGTTTAGGGAAATGTGAAGTGCTGCTTCCTCTTCCTGATGGGTTTTTCTCCGAGGAGCAGAGGATGTCTTCCCTGTCACATGGGAAAGAGCATGCTTTCTAATAGTCTGTGCATTAAACTGTGAGGAATTCTAAACCTGAGCTCTGCAATAGATTTTTCTCTAGTTCTCATCAGATAGTCTTCCTCAATTCCGTTTATCTACCTGCTTCATAGGAATGTGACTAAGGAATAAAAAGCCATTGGTGAAGCAGTAAAGATTCATATTAATCCCCATAATCTTATAGCAGCAACGATAAAAATCAAATATTTCTAATAGTCTTCCATTAATATTTTGTGCCCTCTAAGTCTACTTAAATACTCTTCTGTGGTCCACAACACAAAGTTAAAGCATAAGCCAGTAGTTCAGCTCTTCTGTTACAGAGCAGATGCCTTAGGGCAGAAGATGCAGTTGAAGCTTTGTCAGAGGCAGCAGGAAGCTAGGTATGGCTTAAAAGAGAGTTTTAAAAATAATGAGTTGAACCTGTTCCTTTCATCTGCTGAGCTTTCCAGATTGAGGGTGGGAGGCAGGAGTAAAACTGAGGGAGAAACTGAACAGAGCTCTGCAAGCCACAAAAGTTTAAGTGTTCAACAGAAAATATAGGTTCCATTTTAGGGAGGAAAAAAAGGCGTACTTTTATAGGGTTGCTCACTGGTGCATGTGATGATAGGCTCATTTTTAATCCCTCTAAGGTTACAAATAGAGGCAACTATTTCCCATTTTAGTATTTCACTAGAACACTGATTTTCTTGCTCTTGGCTTTGTTTAGACCGAGATGCAGACCGAGATGTGGCTGCTAGCCACAGCAACTAGTTTGGTAACAGGCATTTGGCGTTCATGTCAACGCAGGCACAACTCATCAGCTCACAAGGGTTTGGAAAAATGGAATTATTAATCTCTGAGAAATTTCAAAGGGAAAGAAAATGGACCTATCGTCTTTTGTCACCTTTGAGTGCAAGTCTTCATATGATCAGGTGGAGATTTGTCACATAGCAAGTTGTTGTATCTGGAATACAAAAAAATGAAACCACATAATAGATGCACAAGAGTTGATGCGCTCTAAGGAACATAGTCATCACATCCTTGACAAACTGTCATCTTTGATCCTCTCATGTGGCAAACAGCTGGGGCCTTTTCTTGGTGATGTATTTAAGTCCTTTGTCTGACCAAAGTTCTTTTAAGATTCAGCAGGTTCTAATAATTATCAAGGATGTTTCCAACACAAGTACCAACATCAGGAATCAAACAAAATCTTTCATGTGCCGTGAATCATTAAGCAGTTGATCTGCTGGCAGGAAATAGTATGACTCTGTGGAATTAAAAAAAGAAGTATCCTTTGATGCTAGGACTTGGGATTTTCCTGTGGTATGGCTGGATGCATTTACATTCGGATAATACTGAACTCAGTTATCAAGATGTCAGTGTAACTGCTCAGGACTCATCTAGCTTCCATACTGAGAGAATGAGCAGGTTTATATGGCACACATTGCACTCTAGGAATTGACACAGCTGCTAAGAGTCAGAAGCCTAATTCTTCCCTCATTTGGAGTGGTGTGGACGAAAGCTGGCTCCATTCAGGTAGACAGAAATATGGTATTGTCCAGTGGCTATAAATGAGAGGAAAAATAAGTTGTCACAAGGAAATTTGATGTCAACATACAGGAAAGTGTTTTTTGTTGGTTTTGCTTTTTTTTAATTACAGCTAGCCCTTGGCCTTTGCAGCCAATTCATAGGAGAGCACCCAGAATGATAACTGTTCAGTCCCAATGAGGCCTGAGGGCATGGAAGAGACTGTTGTAAGACATGGCAGCAATAGCTGAGGAAAAGATCAGCAGGAAGACTTCAGGTGATTCAGATTTCAGTAGCCAGGAAAAAGGAGGGAGAGGGATGGGTGCTCTGTTTTTAAAGGGTACTTCTTTCATGACCCCACTGGTGTACCCATCTGGAGATGCTCAATAAGTTAATGGCTGTGAGAGAAAACTCACCAATGATAAACAGCTTATGTCCTGGTGCCTGAGAAGCTGCTGGGGTCTCACACCTCAGGAAGGCGTCTGGGTAGATTAATTCCACATATATTTTTATATCTATATTAGATGCAAAATGCCATTTCAACAGGGCCTGTGACTTTTCAAATGTGCATAATTTATTCTTTCCACATATATTTTTATATCTATATTAGATGCAAAATGCCATTTCAACAGGGCCTGTGACTTTTCAAATGTGCATAATTTATTCTAAGCCTAAATTTGCTAGAAAACACAGTCCAAAGCTCATTTACCCAATGAGATTACCTAATCAAAGTAATCTCTGCTCTGCCTCTCCATTTAATCATCAGTCACTAATGTAAAACTAACAAGAAGCAGGATTTAAATATTTTCTGCCTGGAACAGCTTGGAACAACTATACTGCTATACTTGTCTTTTCCTGCCATAGGTAGCTGCGCAAATGTAGCCTCCAGAGGCACAGCAGCTTCCTCTCTGTGAGATGTCAGCTTATCACTGTCCTTTATTTCAGAAGAGAAAGAGGAAGCACGCCTCCAGTTTATCATCTTCTTGTACAAGTCAGAATGTAATGAAAACATGCTTAGTATTCAAGATAGTGTAGTAAGAATGGCTTATATTTATTAGTCTTCTGCCAAGTGCAGTCAAGCAGCAACTAAAGATAAGTTTGAAAATAACAGAGATCTATTTAAAATTAGCTCACATACTGGCTAAGGAATACTGGGAAACCAAATACTTCCTCTAAGCATTCTTAACAATTTTTCCTTCTTGGGTGCATTGAGTTTATATACTCAGGAAAGAAAACTCAGTTGCCCCCATAGTTGTTCCAGCAATTTGGCACCCGTGCTATTGCGCCTTGCAACGCAGCCTGTCCCCTAGTTAGAGCTCTGCGACTATTGGGTGAAGTTCGCTCTGCCCTACTGCTGCCTCTACATTGTGGGCAGAAATCCCCCAGTACTCCCCACCAAAATACTAAATCCTAGACTTCACCATAACTATTACACTGTAGGCCTATTGGTACTGGAAACCATGAACAGAGACAGTGACAACAGCAGTATATGAACATTTTTGCACTCCATTTGCCCTTCAGCTTTGTTAGGTCCACTGCTCAGAACTGAAGGGTACATTAGAGAGTTGATATTACCACAGGCCCCTCATTCAAAAGCGCCTGTATGAAGAAGAAGGCTATAACCATGCACAAAGGT